TCGCTCTCCCTCTGCCCCCTCACCCCGGCTTGTGTGTGTGTGCACGTGCGCCTGTGCGCATGCCCTCTCTCAAGAAAAATCTTAAAACTGATTTTAAGTGTTTGAACAAACTAAACAAACTAAAACTGTTTAGTCTGAAAAAGATCAATATATAACACACAGTTCCTTATGAGGGGATTAAATAAAAAGAAGTAAAAAACATCTAAGACAATTATACTTGTAAATCAATTATTTATTTTAAAAGGTAGAGTCACCTATCTATAAGTGATTCCTGCACTGAAAAGGTCCAGAAACAGGCAACCCTCCACTGTGATTTCCAGCGTCTCAAGGCCTCAAAATGTGGGCTGCATGCCACCTGTCACCTGGGAGCTGAATCAGCACTGCGGGCTGTAACAAGATCTCCAGGTGATTCACATACCTATTAAACTTAGAGACATGCTTTTATAGAGCAGTGGTTCCCAAACTTGTCTGCATATGAGAATCATATGGGAATCTTAAAAAATTCCAAAATCCAGGCCATAGGGACACAGGCACTGGTGGTTTTAAAGTCCTCCAGGTGATTCCAGGTGCAGCCAAGTCTGGGAACCACTGGTAACTCTTCATAAAGCACTGGTTCTCAAACTTGGCCGCACAGTGGAAGAACCTGTGGAGCATCAAAAAGCACTACCATCTGTTTCCAGCCCCAGGAAGTCTGATGTGACTGGTCTCAGGTGTGACCCAGGCACTGAGACTTTTTAAAGGCTTCCCAAGTGACTTTCATGTGCAGCAAAGTTTGAGAACCATGATCTAGAGCCTGGCACAGAGGCTTCAAGATGGTAGCTAAGTCTGCACCACTCTTTCTGCAAAGGGGTTTAAAGTCAGTGAACATTAATTAAAATGAACAGTTGGTCTCACAGCTTTCGGCTAACTCACCGGCATAATGACAGCTTCAAGCTTGCTGGGGTTCAGGTCTGCCAAATCTTCTATGTCCTCATGGGCTCTCCTGGCACTTTCCTCCAGCACATTTCTCTTCTCTTCTGCTGGGCTCTCTTTCAAGTGATTAACAATGTACATCTGCTCAGCATTAGGAGCAAATAGCTTCACCTTCAAAAATAGAAATAAAAACAAATGATGTCATTGCCTCTATGAAAATAATCAAGCAAATCAATCTCAGAGCCTAGACCAGGAAGGAAAGTCAGAAAACCACTAAGTAATTCCGTATGCCTTCAGGGCCAACACCAACTACAAATAGCAGCCACAAGGAAGAACTGCAGGGGACTTCTGCAGGGGTTGGGGGGGAGAGCTATAAATTAGCTTCCAGAAAGAAAGTAGAACAGAAAGAGACTGATTTCCAAATACATACATACACATATCTATCTATACACACACACAGCCATATATGTGTGTATACATATGTATATAAATTGCACAGCCCTTGAACGACACAACTCCATGCATCGAAAATTTGTGTGTAACTTTGACTACCCATAGCCTACTGTTGACCTAAAGCCTTACTGATAACATAAACTGTTAACGCATATTTTGTATGTTACATATATTATATACTGCAGTCTTACAATGAAGCAAGCTAGGAGAAGAAAATGTTAAGGAAATCATAAAAGAAAGTACATTTACAGCTGTATCATATTGATATTAAAAAAAATTCTGTGTATAAGGGGACCCACACAGTTCACACCCGTGTTGTTCAAGGGTCAACAGTACATGCTTTTTAAAGAGATGGAAGAGAGGATTTTATTTTATTTTAAAGATTTTATTTATTTATTTATTTGTTAGAGCACAAGCAGGGGGAGCGGCAGGCAGAGGGCAAAGCAGGCTCTCCGCTGAGCAAGGAGCCTGATGAGATGCAGGGCTCAATCCCAGGACCCTGGGATCATGACCTAAGCCGAAGGCAGACGCTTAACCGACTGAGCCACCCAGGTGTCCCGAGAGGATTTGATTTTATAGATAGAAACAGAGGGCTCAAAACCATGGGAGAGTTGAATAAATCTATCTTTAAAGTCTTTCTAAAGCTGGGATTCTCAAGCCTGCTGCATATTAGAATCACCTGGAGAGGTTGAGGCCCTGTTACATGGGAATCCCTGGGATGGAAGCACTAGCTTGGGCATTGGTATGTTTTAAAATCTACTGAGGTGATTCCATCATTTGTCAGGGTTGGCAACCATTGAACTAAAGCAAATGGGAAATAAAACTCACAAACTCAGGACTCTAAGTTAAAATCTCACGGGTTTTATTTATTTTTTTAAGATTTTAATTATTTATTTTAAAGGGAGCACACGAGTTCGATCCCAGGACTCTGGGATCAGGGCCTGAGCTGAAGGCAAACGCTTAACTGGTTGACTGAGCCACCCAGGCACCCCTAACATCTCAGGCGTTTTAATGCCAAAAACCCAAAGCAGACCATTTGGAAGCTCTTACTTGACCTACTTCCAGGCATCCAACCCAACCAAGCTCTGGATTATCACCCCCAGTCTGCCATCAGAAAGAGTTCCTCTTTCCCCAACAGCTGGATCCTGCAGGGGCAGTGATCTGGGGAGACATGAGGATTAGGAGGCAAGGAAGGAAGTGCAGGGCAGGCACCTATATACTGGGGCCCTAGGTGTCACACCTTCTTCACTGACTTCTACCCCACCCCAAAACTTGCAGGTCCACTTCTCCAGGATTTAGATAAAGCTGGTCTGAGTCAAATGTCCCTTGACTTTGAGAAGGCATCATTAGGACTAGAAAGCATACGATCATGTTTTAGCCTCCTGTTATTAAGCTTTGTATTTGATTAAAATATTCTAAACATTCTCTCTTCTCTGTATTCTTGGTTTTACAAAACTGAGTAATATCTCCTATCTGTGGGGTAGATCTACAGGAGAGATTCTAAGCACATATATATCCTATTATTAGTAAAAAGAAAAAAAACGCTGCGAACATTCTGAAGGGCAAGAAAGATGGAAAAAAAATGTGGATTGGTTTTTAAACCAGTAATTCTGGAAACAGACTGGCTTGCAGTTGCTTTGTGAAATTAACCGGATCTACCTGCCCAAGGTGGAGGTGAAGATAAAAATTTAAATTTCACCTAAATTCTACCCTCCCCCAGAATCCTATCACTCTATTTTTTCCTTTGAGGAGATGCTATACAGTTCCACTGGTGGGCAACAGTTCAATGGTTGATAAACATGATTTTATCAGACTACAGTACTCTTCTGAGTGTTCTTAAGCTAACTGAGCAAGGACCCAAGGGAAACCAATTGGATTAAAATTCAAACTATTTTTTGATGGATCTTCCAAGATTTAAAAACCATGAACTAGAGAGAAGTCAGTACAATGAGGTATCAGGTAACAACAGTCTATAAGCATCTTCTGCCTGGGATGCTGGGGTCATAGCCAAAAGGAACAGAAGGCGGAACCAGACCCGAGCAGATGGGAGCTACTGAGAGGCTGAGTTAAGGCTAATATGGGGGACTTTCTCACCATTAGAGCTCCCTGCACGCGGAATGAAGAGACTGCAGTCCCAAGAGAGAAGAGCCCCACCACTGACCATGGTCAACTCGAAACTTGTTTCTATAGCTCTCGGAAGTCCTGAGTAGGATGGGAAGCTCCACTGGCCCTCTAGCCTATGATCCCATTATTTGTATATTGTTACTTTGGAGAGCTGTTTCAGGGGTAAGTCATGCTCAAGTAAATACCCTCTGGGAATCCTGTGGGTGCCCTGTCAAACTGAACATTACATTTCAGCCGTCATAGCTAGGACGTGTTGCGCCCTCCCTCCCCACCCCCAACTTGTGTGGGTCTTTGGAGAGGTCAGTTTAGCCTTGGTGATTCTGAACTGAGCCATGGGGGTATGCAGGAGAGCTAGGACTGCACCCACCTAAACACTTAGGTAAGTGGGTGTTAAAAGGGTACCCTGCCTGAATCTCCACAGAATTTCCCAAGCTGGTGCAGCAAGTGGGAGAAGGGGAGGGAGGTTGGGTGGGGGAGGGACTAATTCCCATCAGCCCTCAGAAAGCCTAGCAGGCATGAGGAAGCCAGTGCCGCTCCCTCCATCCCCAGCATGGGTCATGTGGTCGCCTATGACCTCACTTACTCCACTATCCTTTACAAATACTTTGATGGTTCACAAGTGTTGTGGGTGAAGTGAAGGTAAGCTGCTCTCTTGTAAAACAAGTAACTATAAGTTATAACGCTTTTAATGTACTATTTATAGACATAAGTTAATATCTTTGTATAAAAGTATGGCAGGCCATGGATATCTCACCAGAAGCAGGGCGGTTGATCCCATTGTTTTCTTGAGCTGGATGAAGGGTAAAAGAAGGGTAATGTAGAATCTTCTCCCCCACTGAAGCGGGTGATCCTAACAAGGAAGAACATCTGGGAGGAAGGGGTGGAGTGGATTAAATAGCGTAGTATCGTGGTTTGTGCATTGCGGTGGCCATTGGCTCAGGTTGGGTGAGGACCAGTCATTCCTCCATGATTGTCTTCCTCACTGCACCACCACCGCCAAATAAAGATTCTTTCACTCAAATGTTTGCTGTCACCTAGTCTGGACCCTGTATGGAGGGGTGAGAGTTCCGTGCTAGAATATCCAAAGGAGGGGCCCAAAGATGGACTCTTTTGTTGGTGGTGGTGGTTTGGTTTAGGTGGGAGTTGTTGAGCGCAGGTCAGAAAAATAGCTCCAAAGAAGCGGTGAACTTTAAACTGAGACGCGGGGCCAGAAGCACTGGGCATTCTGGGTCTGTTTGAGAAAAAGGAGGCCCCGAGGCCCGGATGGAGCGCTCCAAGAAGCCAGACCCAGGCGCCTTCCCGGTCGGCAAAGTTTTGAAAGCCGCCACCCTGCGGGCAGCTTCAGACAGGAAAAACGGTCCGCACGAAAGGGCTCCGCTCCCTCCCGCTCAGGAAGGCGTCCGGCGCGGCGGGGCCGAGGCTCCGGCCGGGGAGAGGGTGGGACCGGCCGGACCCAAGCGGCCGAGTCCGGGGTTGGCGCGGCGCGGGGGCCTGGCTCCGCGCATGCTCAGTCCGCGTCGCCGGGGTAGGGAGGCGCCGGAAGCACCGGGAGCCGCCACATGGCGCAGGCGGGGAGCGCCCACCGTGGGGTCGGTGGGCAGCGGAGCGCGGGCGCGGCTCCGGGGTGCGCGCTTTGGCGCTGGGCCCTGGCGCTGCTGTGGCTGCCGACAGCCGCGGCCGGCCCCTCCCGGCGCCAGTGGCCCGTGCCCTACAAGTGAGTGCGCGCGGGCGCGGCGGGGCGGGCGCGCGCACGGCCGGGGCTAGCGGGGCGGGGTGCCGGGGCCGAGAGGCGCTCCCCTCGCGGTGGGGCACCGGGTGGAGCGCGCAGGTGTCGCCGCTGCTAGCGGCGCGCCGCCCTGGGGCCTCCCTTCCTCTGGGGACACTTGCGCCAGTTTCTAGGTGACCTAGGCTCAGGACACTCCCTAATCATGAAAGAAACGGGAAGTAATGTCATTTTACTGAGTGAATTTTGGATGCAAGTAACCGACTGAATAGTTTGAGGAGACTGAATATCGCGTTTGTTTGTTAACGTCTTGCACGTCGTTATCGTGAGCGCGTACCCATTGGCACCACTGACAGCGTGACCCACTGGTTGGGGTTTTCTGAGACTTTCCGTTTTTATCCCTAAAAGTCATGTGTCCTTAGACTCGCCCGCCCCCTTTGACTCGGGCACGCCGGGAAGGTTGGTGACCTCGTTTGTCCCGTTTCCAGTCTGGGTGTAGGATATGGTCATAAGACCGGGACAGAGACTGCAAAGCCGTGAAGCTGATTGGAGCCTCTGACCTAGAAGAGTTTACACGGCAGAAGATGGTCAGGTGGCTAAACACACGGAAAGAAAACAACGCTGTTAACACCAGGCAGGGCTTTTGAAAACGCACAGCTATTTCGCATGACAAAATAGTGAGTGGAGAGGCAGGTTAACCTAGTGGTCAGGAGAGAGATCTGGGTTCCAGTCAAATCAGGCACCACCATCACTAGCTGTTCGATAGCCGATATCCGTATCTCTGTAACCACGTGTCCTGAGTTAGCAGGAATAGTAGCATTTACCCGGTGTTTGTAGGGGGATTACATCTAGTAAATGCCAGCTCTTGTCAAGCCTGGATATTAGCGTATTCTGCTCACTGAATGCTTTGCACCACTTCCTTGTTTTGCTTGATATATATGAAAAGAGAAGTTTGGGTTTTCTTGAAAAAAACGTTAATACAATGTTCACTCAAAAAAACATAAAAAAGAAGTAAAAAATGTTCAATAAAATAAGAGATTGTAAATCCAAAACTACTTGATTTAAAATTAGGGAAAGGTATGAACTATAACTTCGTGTTTCTATAAAAATTTCAAATATTGAGTTTAATCTTCTCTACTGAATATAATAAAATTTAACTTTATTAAGTTCACACAAATTGTGCTTTTGAAATTACCCTTGACCTACAAGAGATTTAGCTGTGGGCAAGTGAAAACTATGTATAGTTATGTATTTGTTTCAACCAGATGAGCACCTATAAAACAGGTAAGTATACCTGAGTCTTATAAATGTTGTGTGTGGGGGGGGGGAAGGGGGGTGTTAATATTTTTGGCTAACTTCTTAAAATAGAAATTTTTGTTGATGTGGTAGGGTTATAAAAGAACAGATCTAAAACCTTAGAGATCAGTATTCTTCAGGATAGATGGAGGCAGCGTCTTTCATCTGTATCTTCCAGTGCCAAATATGGAAGGTGACCAGGGGTGTCTACTACTACAATCTGCCCCCTAGTCCTATTGCCAAGGCCTTTCGGGGGGGGGGGGGCTTCTCTTCTTGTTACATTATTACAGTAAACTAACTGACCGATGCCTTAACTTCCTCTCTCACCGCTCTCTTCTAACTCATAAAATAAGGTTTGTTTTGCAGCAAATCCAGTCAGACCAGGGCTGCTACTTAAAATCCGTGAAGCTCACTCTGGGGCTCATTCCTTGCCAGTTGTAGAGTCCAGAGGTTGCGGTTCGTGCTGCGTCAGTGCAAAAGGACAGTCCCTGCCGCCCTCTCCTGCCCTGAAGCCTGAATTCCTTATTTACAGTCTTATTTACCCGCTGTCTTAAAATACTTAATGTTTTCTCTACTTTTGTGTCCTGACCTTTGGAAGTATTTTAAAAACCTAAGCCAGGTCTTCATCTCTTTCTTTGTCCTCATCCCCACCCATTCCATATCTGGTAAAAGTGATTTCTCTCCTGTGTGCTCGCAGGACTCTATCTTTCTTTAGCACTTACCACACTGCACTTGGTTTACTTGTTTAATGTATTCCCAGCCCCCACCCAAATGTTCTTGAGGAAGGGAACATCATTTTAATTTTGTTTTCCTCCTCCCTAGTATGGTGTCCTACACATAGTAGAGCTTTAATAAATATTGGCTGAAGGATCATTGGTTAATTTCATTATTTAAAATTGTTTACTTTAAAGATCTAATTGGCTTTATTAAATGATTCATGAATTGGGCCACATCCCGTCTAGCAAATAGAGGGGCACTCCTGTTGGTTAATTCTTAAGAAAACAGAAAATATATTCTAAAATATATATATATATTCTATTTAATCATAATTATTTTGGAATCATCTTAACATATGGATTGTTTAGGAAATTAAATGTCACTTGAAAATACTCCTTTATTCAGTGAATATTTGTCTACTAAATAAGATCTGATCTGTCAACATTTTAAGATACAGCCCCCGTTTTCAAGATTTTCACAATGGGAGCAGGAAACAGAGAAGCATGCATTTATCAGAGTGCTTTTAATGTATCATTTGCTGTTAAAGACATCATTGGAGGGTGCCTGGGTGGCTTAGTCGGCTAAGCATCTGCCTTCAGCTCATGTCATGATGCCAGGGTCCTGGGTTGGAGGCCGGCCGGCATCCGGCTTCCTGCTCATCAGGGAGCCTACTTCTCCCTCTCCCTCTGCTGCTGCTTCCCCTGCTTGTGCTCTCTGTCAAATACATAAAATCTTTAAAAATAAATAAGACATCATTGAAGTTTGTTCACAGGATAACAGATAAAATGTTTAAACACTATGGGCTAAACTTTTGAATGTTTCCTCTGAAAATGTTACTGACAGTGGTACTAAAATCTGGATTCTAAAATGTTCAAGAAGAACCAAATTCCTATTAGAATCTAAGTTAGTGGTTTCTTTTTCTTTATTAGACGCTTTTCCTTCCGTCCAGAACCAGATCCTTATTGTCAAGCTAAATACACATTCTGTCCAACTGGCTCACCCATCCCAGTTATGAAAGGTGATGATGTCATTGAAGTCTTTCGGTTACAAGCCCCAGTATGGGAATTTAAATATGGGAACCTCCTGGGACACTTGGTAAGGCTGCATCTTGATCTTATAACTTCGGTTAATTAAATGATTTATTAAGTGGATTTGAGGGAATAATCGCTGTTCAAAGGGCTGATTTGAGATAATGTTTAATTGGTGTTCTTAGCATGTTTAAAATGAGTAGTCAGTGGGGCACCTGGGTGACTCAGCTGGTTAAAACATCTGACTCTTGGTTTTGGCTCAGCTCATCATGATCTTGAGGTCATGAGATCCAGCCCCGCCTGGGCTCTGTGCTTGCGGGCAGAGTCTGCTTGAGATTCTCTCCCTCTCCCTCTGCCCCGCACCCCCCTCTCGAGGGCACCTGTGTTGTGCTTGCAAGCTTGTGCGTGCTCTCTCTCAAATAAATAATAAAATCTTTAAAATGAGTAGTCAAAAAAATATTACCATATTTTATGATCCTGACAGTAACAAATGCAGTTGCTTTAATCCCTTTTGATATTCTGTATCTGTACCCACCTCCTGTACCCAGCTCCTGGAAAGTAAGAAAGGAGAAGGCCTGGGGAAGGGGCAAGGTAGGCAGGAAACACTTCACCTCCAGTCCCTGCTGCACACACTTTTCCTAGGTTAGCTCACCATTTGAGCCTCTCATCCGCCTGTAAGTATATAGACTTCCTGAGACTGGCACAGAGCTTCTTGAACCCATTCTAAACTGTAAGGAAATGAAGAGCATGTCCGTATAGCAAACATCCTTACTATCTGAGATAGGCAGCAGTCAAAACCAGAGTGGAGGAGGGCCTGGGCTTTGAGGAGCCACAGCGTGGACACAAGAATAGCAAATGGAGGAGGAATGGCTGAGCAGCTGCTGTAGCTGATAGACAGTCACGGTGCATTACATTTTCTCCCGTTTGGTTCCTGGGCCAGTGGTTCCTTCACAAGCGCTTTTATACGTGTATGATCTTTACACAGAAAATTATGCATGATGCCATTGGATTCAAGAGTACTTTAACTGGCAAGAACTACACAATGGAATGGTATGAACTTTTCCAACTTGGAAACTGTACATTTCCCCATCTCCGACCTGAAATGAATGCCCCTTTCTGGTGTAATCAAGGAGCTGCCTGCTTTTTTGAAGGAATTGATGATATTCACTGGAGGGAAAATGGGACGTTAGTTCTAGTAGCAACCATATCAGGTAAGTTTGAAAAATATGGCAATATTTGACAATTGCATCAGTATCCAAATGAAAAAAAATTACTTTCATTGAGGCATTTCATTCGTGTTCTGCTCTTTAGAGGTCAGTTTACAAAATGTACTTCTGGAAGCAAAACTTTTGACCCAAACTATTGTTCATGCCAAGCGTCACCTTTAAACTTTTTTTTTTTTTTTTTTTTTTATTCATGAGAGACAGAGAGAGAGAGGCAGAGGGAGAAGCAGGCTCCCAAGGAGCAGGGAGCCCGATGCGGGACTCGATCCCAGGACCCTGGGATCATGACCTGAGCCGAAGGCAGACGCTTAACCGTCTGAGCCACCCAGGCACCCAAGCGTCACCTTTAGATGATGAGTAGTGTATCTCCTCTATTCCATGGTAAAAAATGAATGAAATGATAAAATGTTTTCTGCAATTAAATTGGACTTTCTAAATAAAACAGTAGAAGAACATCCACAAAACACCCGCTAAAATAACTGATTAAAGGTGCTGTTAACCATATCTGGAAAAAGACTTTCAGTGATGACACCTTGTTTTTATGTCAAGAAGTAATAGCTACCACTCATGGGGACTTACTCTGGGCCCAGCAGCGGTTCCAGGTGCTTTATCTATATCATTTATCTATACATTATTTATCATCACAACCACCCCTCCCCAAAATAGTTATTCCCCACCACCACCATTTTACAGATGGGGAAACTGAAGCACAAAGTGCTTAAAGTCACACAGCTAATAAGTAAGTGGGACTCCAACCTTGGCACTGAAGCCCTGTTGACCATTTTCTTAACTACTTCACTACATTATTTCCCAAAATATTCACAATCTTATGGATTTGAGGCTCCTCAGGCAATTGAAATATTTTCTTTTTTTTTTTTTAAAGATTTTATTTATTTATTTGACAGAGAGAGACACAGCGAGAGAGGGAACACAAGCAGGGGGAGTGGGAGAGGGAGAAGCAGGCTTCCTGCTGAGCAGGGAGCCCGATGCGGGGCTCGATGTGGGGCTCGATCCCAGGACCCCGGGATCATGACCTGAGCTGAGGGCAGACGCTTAACGACTGAGCCACCCAGGCACCCCGAAATATTTTCTCAAGATTTTCTGTTCTGGGCGCCTGGGTGGCTCAGTCGGTTAAGCGACTGCCTTCGGCTCAGGTCATGATCCTGGAGTCCTGGTATCGAGTCCCGCATCGGGCTCCCTGCTCAGCGAGGAGCCTGCTTCTCCCTCTAACCCTCCCCCCTTTCATGTACTCTCTCTCTCATTCTCACTCTCTCAAAATAAATAAATAAATCTTTAAAAAAAAAAAAAGATTTTCTGTTCTTTTGGATGTATTGGAAAGTTGATGAAACACTTGGAATTTTGCTGCATGTGTAGCATTGTTGGGTAGTGATGAAGAAAGTTCAGAACTTTTACTAGAAACTGGTATGTGACCTTGGATGACATTTTACTTTATTGACTCATTACCCCATGTGTAGAATGGGGATGAGACTGCCATTGCATCCTAGAGATAGGGAGCTTGCCCATATGATTCATAGAGCTCCGCATTATAATTGTTCTCCAAGAAAACGGAAATCTGGAATGAAAGCCCTGTTTGTGATAATTCTTCAGTAAACCACAGGACTTGAGGATGTTATCATGCTTTCCACTTGGATAGCTCTTTGCACAGCATTTTGGAGCATGTTATCTCACAGTTCAGGAGGAGAAAACACTCTTCTTCCTTTTATAAGTAAGGAATTGAGGGTCAGCCAGGTAGCATGACTTAACCAGTCTCTTCAAGTCACAAACCTGCTGGTAGAACCAGGAATAGAATGGTGTCTTAAATGTCATCTGGGGATCTTCTAACTGTACACCATGCTGTTACCTGATCTTCCTTCCTACTTTCTAATTGATGTGCCCCAAACCATTCCAACAATACCAAAGTCCATTTCTCTTTTAACCGTGCTCAGCATTCATACTCTTCATTCCAGGCCAGTTTACGTTTCTCCTTTCCCTGTCCACCTATCTCATTATCTGGAAATTCTTCTTTCTGACATCAGTGTATGATATGAACAAGTGATCATTATTTCATGTAAAATAGTTTGTACTGTGCTAGTACCTAAATATTTCAAGTTACCCATCTGCTTTGTGATTAATCCTGTTCATTGATATTTTCTCATGTTACAGAAGTGTTTTGAAGTACTCTCTCTTAATTACAGGAGTGACTTTTTAAAGTTGAAGAACACTAAGGACAGTATCCCCAGTTCTAAGAAAACAGGCTTTATATTATTCCACAACTTTAAGTCCATAAGTTGATCAAAGCAGCCACTCTATTCATTTTATAGGACATGAAGTATTGATTTCATGGACTCAAGGTGGAACACTTAAGAAAGGTTCACACAAGGTGAAAAAGTGAAATGTTGGGGCCAAGCTCTATTAGGCATTGTAAATGAGGTTGTAACCACACGAAGTATGGTGTTTTGTTAACTTTTGGAGAGATTCCTCTGGTCTGGTACAAGGTGGTGGAAGAGTGTGAGCCGTTCCAGAATCTGTATAATGCACAAACGTGGCCAAAAACATTTCCCGTTTAGTTGCTTCATTGGAAGAATTTGTATGGTTAGTGGGAAGGTTGTAAGCAGAATCCCACCAGCTGCAAGTATAGAGAGAAAAGGGAAATATCAGATATTCAAGAAGGATAGTGTATATAAGTACTTTTCTCTTGTAACATGAGTAGGCCAGCCTTCTAGAGTAGCGGCTCCCCTGGCTGCCATTCATACTGTGTGGGCACCGTGCTATGTGACGGAAAAGCTCTGCATTTCCCCTCCTCCATTCTTAACATGCCTTGGCCCCATTCACTTTTACCTCTTCCAGAGTTTTTTCCTGGTTTTCTCTCTTTTGCCTCTGAATCCAAGATTTGTTGAGTGGGGTAAAGAAAGAGGGCTTCTGGGGTGCCTGGGTGGCTCAGTTAAGCGTCTGCCTTCACCTCAGGTCATGATCCCAGGGTCCTGGGATTGAGCCCCGCGTCGGGCTCCCTGCTCGGCAGGAAGCCGGCTTCTCCCTCTCCCACTCCCCCTGCTTGTGTTCCGTCTCTCGCTGTCTCTCTGTCAAAATATAAATAAACTCTTAAAAAAAGGGCTTCTGCATGTGTATAATTTTGCTTTTGACTATACCTTAAATGATTATAGAATTGGTATGTAAGACTTTATACACCTGTTGTAGCTAATGTTTACAATTCAGAAATACCTTGTACCTTGAAAAATAGAATAAAAATTGGCTGAGCTTGGATACCTATCGTGAGATACAGGTTTGGAACTATTACTATAAATAATAGATAAATAATAATAAAAACTATTATTTATTCATGGCCTTAATCATCAGGTTAGAACATTTTACATAAAACTAGTATTAGCTTTGATGTTCACATAGGTAATTTTTTTTTTTTTTTTTAACTAGGAAACACATTTAACGAAATGGCCAAGTGGGTAAAGCGGGACAATGAAACAGGGATTTATTACGAGACATGGACTGTCCAAGCCAGCCCAGCAAGAGGGGCAGAGACATGGTTTGAATCCTACGACTGTTCTAAATTCGTGTTAAGGACATATAAGAAGTTGGCTGAACTTGGAGCAGAATTCAAGAAGATAGAAACCAACTATACGAGAATATTTCTTTACAGTGGAGAACCTACCTATTTGGGAAATGAAACATCTGTTTTTGGGCCAACAGGAAATAAGACTCTTGCTTTAGCCATAAAAAAATTTTATTACCCCTTCAAACCACATTGGTCAACTAAGGAATTTCTCTTCAGTATCTTGCAAATTTTTGATGCAGTGATTATACACAGAGAGTTCTATTTGTTTTATAATTTTGAATATTGGTTTTTACCTATGAAATTCCCTTTTATTAAAGTAACTTATGAAGAAATCCCTTTACCTAACAGAAACAAAACACTCTCTGGTTTATAATATTTTAATTCTGCTCTTTCTTTCCTTTTATCACCAGCATATATGTTTTTCATGGGGTGATTTTACATTTGTGGATTTCTTAGGCCTTTCTACCTTGGACCAGAAATGCATCTGGGCAGAATTGCCACATACCATCTCAGGACTATTTTTGGAGAGAAGCTGAAACTTACTGCATTGGTCAAAGTGGGCACATTAGGTGATCTTGGTTTCAAACTCCCAAGCCTTTCTTAATATGAATTACAGTTCATATCAGATATATAGGATCTCTGGGGACCCCCCCTTTTTTTTTAATTGTGGATATGGTGTACCAAGATTTTTTTAATACCCTCAGTGACATTTTCATGATGGGAGGTACTTTTGGTATAGTAGTTATGCATTTTCATTTAAGTACTTTTTGGTGGTTTAGACGGACTTTACAGCTTTTGTAACTTTAGGGACCAGGTCTAGTAGTTTGATTTTGTTCTGTTCACTTAAAGACCAATCTGGACACCATAGCTGCAGCACTCGTGCTTCTGGATGAGGTAAAAACAGTGTTAAAGAGCTTAAGTTTCTATCTAGAATTTTAGAATTAGCCAGTAACTGGCATTTTGTGATTTAGGCAGCTTAGCATTTCTGAACTTTACTGTCCTTATGTCTAAGATGATTCATCTGTCAGGACTGTTATAAAGACTGAAGCCATGTATGTTTGTCATAGGAAAGTTAGAGTAAATGGTCGCTATAATGATGAGTCAAAGAACAAAGTGCCATCCTCGATCTGGCCTAATGTAGTTTAAATGCCAACCTTTCCTGGGGTTTATAGTAATTCCCTAGACTTTGAGCTGACAGTTGAATGCTTCTGCAATTCTTCAAACACAGGGGACACAAGTATCTGACTGCAGGTGCATCTGGGTGAACAGGCAGGCACCCTCTGACTCCTCTACTCTTCTTGAATTCCTTCCACCCAGTTGAGGTGCCAACTCAGAAGAGGGTACACTTCTCAGGGGACAGGTTTTTGTCAAGGATCTCCAAGTAGCTGTGCTTCCATTTAGGGCCATCAAGGTTTCAAGGTCCTTTAAATGTTTGATGATGTCTATTCATGGAAAAAACACCAGTCAGTAAGATGATGAAGCAGAGACAATCGGTTAAATATGTAAACTATGTTATTCAGTTTCTACTAACATTTGAGTGCCTCTTGAGAGGTTAGTTATCACTGAGTTCTCCTACAAAGCCCAAACAGAGGTATTATTTACCTGACCCAAATGAGTAAACTGGGGCTTAGGTTAAATGACCTTTCCCTGGCTACCCAGCTAATGGTAACCGAGCCACATTTTGAACCAGTTCTGTTGACTGCATGGCAAACACTATCAAGCGAGGTTTCACCATTACTCAAAATGCAGTCCTAAGATCAGTGCCCGCACCACAGGTTACCAACACCATAGGTTACTGGTCAAGTACAGACACGGATAGGAAACATTCAGAAACTTCTTTTAAAGCCACTTAGTGGAGTAATTTTGTTTCTGTTGAATCTAATAAAAAAATTGCTTGTATTTTGTATGTCTTTATTTCATTTGTCTAGGAATTAATTTTTATTGTCTTTTTTAAAACTATAGGCACTATACCAGTCTGAAAATAAAAACCCAGCCCTTCAACTTAAGAAGCACTGCAATACTCTGCTTACTGCAGCACAAAGGCAAAGTCTTGCTAAAATACATGGGGAGAACTTTGTTTCACTGCCTACCATTTAGCCTATGTACTCATGTTAATAGTGCCTAAACACTCCTAATTAATTTTGCCTCTTTAACCTGCTAGTTATCTTCAGAAGGTCACAAATGTGGATCTTTGCGTTATCACCACCTAGTGGCTGAAATAGGGCAGTGCCAACTTTTACTAGATAATTTAGGAAAATTGATCTGGAAAACAGAATTCTGGATTTTCTAGAACTGCATTGGGGAAACAAGCAAAAACTCTTGTGCCACATTTGTGCTAACTCTAAAGCACAGAACTTGGTTCTGTAGCAAAGACAAATGAGGACATCTGGATGTGGAACTTGAATTTTTATTCAGTATTTTTCAGTTCCTAAGAATATTTTAACAAATGAAGGAATTCTGTGAAAATAATTGGTAGACTCAGGTGACTATAGCATAGAACATAAAAATCACATTAGTACTTAAGAATTTATCAAACTTGTCAACTGTACTTATAAGATGAAGTAGGCCTTTTGGAGTAGAGATGGAATGAACATGCTTTCAAAATGGTAGTTTATGGCCAGGCAGGAATTTGCCAATTAAATCTTGCTGCCCTTTGATCTACTATATAACTTAAATGTGATTTCTATTTTTCTGTTATGAATGTATAAAATTTACTCTATTTCTATGAAAAACCATTTTGTTGAAGTCTGATTTAGGGGCTTTAGAATAAATATATCCTCACTTACTAATTCTGGCTCAGTATTCAGTAAGTATACCCACAAAGTGTCATCAAGTGTATTTTAATACTTATAGGAAAACAGTCAAAAGATTAAAATACGTATTTGGAACCCTTGATATTGGCTCCTTTGAAATCAGGGAAAAAAGTCTTAAACTTCATCTAGTTTTATAATCTGGTCTGGTGGTACTTAATGAAGTTTTTGGGGATTTCAGTTCCTTTAAAATCTTTTTTTTTTTTAAGAAATTGTTGGTATGTTATACGAAGAACAGTGTTCCAAAACCATACACATGCTTTTCCCTGTTCACAGCCAAGACAAATGGGCTGGCCGAAGTTTGTTTCCATCATCTTCCTATTTACCCTTCATTGTCCAAGTAGCTTCCTGTGCTCTCAAATTTGCCTATCTACATTTTCTCTCCCCTACTTAATATATTCTTTTACTGGACTGATTATTCTAAGGATAAGCTCTTGGTTGTCTTTTGGAATAAAGGGCTTTGTGTCTGTAAGTCCTGTATGTCCTTGTGTTTAAAGGATAGTTGGGTGTCAGAAGCAGGTAAAATTCTTCTGCTTGGTAACAGTAAAATCTCAGATAAACTGAAGCTGGAGTCTACAATTGTTCCCAGTTATGTATGGGGTACAGATTACAGCTTCTTAAAGGACCTAGTTCAGGCCTAAGCCTTCACACCAACCCCCCCATTTATCTATTCTAAGCTTTTCTGTAAATATAAAATTTTCTCTGAATGCAGTAAATTGATTTAATCTTTAGTTATGCCTGTTTTTTTTTTCCTGATAGTATTGTTAAATAGCCCAGATTACCAAAGGAAATTGAAGTTATTTTCTAGAAGCTGTGAAGACAGGAAATGAAAATCATTTCAATAGTTTAGAAACTATTCTGGTTGGGACACCTGGGTGGTAAAGTCTGTTAAGCATCATACTCAGGTTGTGATCTCAAGGTCATGAGACCGAGCCCCAGGTCAAGCTGAGTGGGGCATTGTGCAGAGCAGAGTCTGCTTAAGGCTCTTTCTCCCTGTGCCCCTCCCCTCAGCTCTCTCTCTAAAATAAATAAATCTTAAAAAAACACACTGTTGTGACTGTATGGATTTATAGAAGACATGTCTCTATGAAAAGGCTACCTGGGTTTAAGGACTTTGAAGAATTCTATTTCAAAATAATCTGTTTTATAATTCTTATTCTAAAAGCAGAGTCTATTCTTTTTAATTTAACCATTTTCTTTATAAAATTTGAAAAAAATGTGCATTTCACGGTCAGTTTTTATTTCCTATCACTTTCGTCATCAGAGTTTATTTCAAGGATAGATTCCATTTGCCTAATCTTACTACATCTTACCATAAACTTATTTAATATTAAACACTGTATTTATCAATACAAATTTGAAACTAAAACCCTAAATTTGTATGCCTCACTTGTTGGAAAATCAAGTACATGTTAGGGTAGTTTTTAAAAATTAAATAATACAACAGCATTAGTAACTCTTTATTCTCAAATTGATAAAAGCATTTAACATATACTTTACAGTATAAACAAAGTAAGTGCTATGCATTTTGCTTATAAAGTGACTTAAAGTATTTCAAGCATTATGTAATTCAATTTGTACAAAAAAGTAAATTTCCAAATAAAGCTCTGGTTAGTAGAACTGATTATGTACTGTCAAATCCATTTTCCAAAGCTGTTCAAGGAAGAAAAGCTTCATCCACTAACACAGGTATTTCTCGTACAAAGCTATTTACTATTGGTGAGAGGGGAAAATATTACAATAATTGCTCTTAATTTCCAAGTCTAGATCAGCCTTTCTCTTCTCATTTATATGTGGCCAGAATACCATGACTTTTGAAAAATCACCTTTTACTTTATTCTTAGGAAGGTAATCTATTTAAAAAATAGATTAGATCTGTAAGACTGTTAGTTTCCATAATTACCAAGATGCTTTCTAAAAGTTTCAAGCATTAATATATTAGTCCATTGGGGTAAATCACTTTCTAATTTCCCTTAGGAAAGGTAATAATCTACTAGCACTAGTGCTCAGAATCAAAGCTTATATAATACCTAAAAAAACTAAATGTAACCCAAAACTTAATATTTTTACAGCAATGTGTGGATAACCTTTATTCATATGAAAGTAATAAAAATGCTACCTAACTTAAATAATATAAAATAGCATTTTAACCAAATTAAAATCACAAAACTTAAGACATTTTTCTATTAAATTTTTCCAGTCCACTGAGAATATTTACTCAAAAATATGATTATGAACTTAAATATATCCTCTTTTAAGTTTACTTGTTTATGCTGAACTGTACAATTGGTGCTTTTATGATTTTTGAAAACTCTACTTATAGAACTATTTAATTCCAAAATGGAAAAATGAGCCATCACTAAAATTCACTGGAAATAATATTCTTTCATGGAAATAATTTATAAACATTTTAAAGTTCTACCTTTAATTACTTCAATTTGGCTTTTTTATATAGATAAGCTTTTCATTTCAATTATTGTATAATACTTCAAAACTAACTTTAACAAAGATAAAACCAAGGAGAACTGGTAAAGCATTCCTTACTTTACACTGGATGCCTCAAAGTGTCACATACATAGTAACATCACAGAAAAGAATTTATATGGTTTAGCAGATTATAGAGCAAACCTGAAAGTTTATACAAAGTTAAACACTGCCTCCCTTCCTGTTTTTTTCTTTTAATTTGATCTTGGCTCTGTTTATTATCCTTCTATAATAACCACTGTGACACTTCCAGTTTTCTAAGCGATCCAATTACTTATACATACATACCTCTTTAAACAGCTCTGTAACATATTTCAGAACATTCAACCCATCTCTTTCATTTGATACGACATATCCTACATTTTTTCTCACAAAATGCTCTGTCCTGAGCTATATTAAACACCTTATAACAGGTGTATGTATAACTGAAGACCCTAAAATGTCAAGTTTACATTTTTTAAAAAATGCATAGAGAACATAACTTTGGAAAACCTATTAGTACTCACTTCTCAGATACTAGTATAGGTTTTGTTTCTTTCAGACTGTTAATCTTCATAACTGGTTATTACTTTCAGATCTGAACGACATTTTAAAAGATTTTTTCTGAGCTTTGATTGCTATTAGGCTAAAGAAAGAGATGAAGTTTTCTGACCGAAACTGGTCCATGGGTCTTCCAATAACATCCTTACATACTCAATGCAGGTATCAAATTTCCATGCCACAAAATAGAATTACATCAGAACTACAGGAAATAAACTCTTATTATAATACAATATGCTTAATGTTAAGGTGCTATTCATCATGCCCTACACATCATTTGGTCTTTACCAAGTAGGCATCATGTCTGGAAACCACACCCTACCGAGATGCTTGGACACCTCC